AGTTAGTTTGAGGTTACTGGTCTCAATACGATAAGTTTAAAGTATCCAGATTGATATACAATAACTATTCCAATTTACTTGACGAATTTTAAAATGACTGCCACTGTTAACAAGTAGCCGAACTTATCAATTAGCAGAGCAGATGTACACAATTGTTTGTCAGTAAAAATAAATTACAATATATATATATTTTTTAAATTCCCTCTGAACTCTTTCTCTCAGCAAATGAAATCACGCAATATAAAATTTCTACAAAAATATCATTGATTTTCAAATGTAATAATCAACTATAGTATAACCTTTAACCTCAATTTAATTGTTGTTCGCCTTTAAATTATAAATATTTTTCTGCCTGTTCAAAATTTTTGCTTTGAACCTAACCTATGGCTAATTGGAAAAAATGATACCATAAAAAATTAACGACTCAGGAAATTTTAATAAAGTCCTTAAGTGAAAAATGCCTCTAGTTAACATCTAACATCAAAGAAATTACTGATATATCCCTCAATTATTTCATAAGAATCGTCATTTCTTGCCAGAAAATTCAGATATATATTGTATTTTAATATATAGATGACTATTTGAAATTTTTATATAAATATTACTAACTGTAAACAAAAATGATTTAATAAAATCGTTAATATACGAGTGAAAAATTCTGGTAAAATTACAGTACTGTATGGTAATGTCATTTCTGTTTATCGTAAAAAAGCTTAATTCTACTATTAAATTCCAAAATAAACGGTACTTAAACATTTACTTGGTAAAATTATAATTATAGTTCTTTTTGCTACAAATTTAAGTTCTTATTACCGCACATTTAGTTAAAAATAGAAAACTGAAATGTAAATTTAATCGACTAAACTGCTGATTTTAGCAAAATCATTACCCAAATGCTTTTATAATATTACCATGCTCTTAGGTATTCCCATAGAGCCAGAAACACTGTATAGTTTACTATATTCTGGTTGCTTGAGCCATAATTATTTTCCCACTGCATACATAATTCGAAAAATGCCTTTAATTGACATACATCAAAAAGAGAGCAAAGCATACGGCAAGTAAATATTTCATTGGAATCCGTCACTTCTCGTCAGCAAATTCAGCCATATTCTTTTGCCTGCTTTCTGTGACATGATTCACAATTGCTTGTGATATTTATCATCAACAAAGTATCTTTTAGTCAGAATTTACGTTTTATGCTTCATGAAATTTAAGTCAAGGGCGTATTACGGATTATTCAGAAGTAAATTTATTCAGTAGAGAGGAGAAAATGCTGCTCTATTGAAACTGTTTCCGAATATCACGTGCTCAGTTAATTTGTTATGCATTCATCTTGAAATTGCTAAACCTCTTTATTTGCAAAGTTTGTTTAGGTTGCTATAGCTTTAAATAATATCGATTCCCGTAATCTTTATTTTCAGTTTATAAAATTATGTTAATTTTTATACCTTTGTTGAATGAAGTTATCTGGAAAAATGGGTTCATTTTTCCATCGATAAATATATTTTTAAGCAACATCAATTCTTTATAGAATGTTAATTTTGAAATTTATCTTTCCGTTAAGTATATTTGTGAGGATTGTAGAAGCTATTATGTAATTGACTTGTTTACAAAACTTGTTTAGGTTACTAGCTTTAAAGAATATCGATTCTCATTAACAAATCACGCAATTTTCATTCTCATTTAATAAAATTATGCTAATTTCTATATTTTTGTTGAATGAAGTTATCTGAAAAATTGCTTCATTTTTGAATCTTTAAAATTGATTTTAATGATCTTCAATTCATTATAAAATGTTACTGTTGTAATTGATCTTACCGTTAAGTGAATTTGACGAGATTGTTGATACCATTATGTAATTGACTTGGTTGATTAAAGATTCATCAGACAACTGAATGTTCAGTTTAAGAAAAAAAATTTTTTTGTGTAATAATTTAAGCTTTTCTTAATATTAATGACATCGTAATACGATTATTTTATATACTCTTAAAATACAGTTAAACATAAATTTTTTCGCTGTCTAGTACTTGCTTGGGATTTGATTTAAATAGGTGCAAAAAAAACATACTGGATAATAGAAAAGTATATTGACAGCATTGGAATTTCTTTAATGTATCATTTCAAAGCATTAATATTTGTTCTATTCCAATCCACTTTTTGAAATCATAAAATATAATGAAACCTACCCTATATTGTATATTTATATAATGTATATCAAGTAATGAAATAGTATAAAATGCATTTACTGCAATGCTATACACCAAGATAAAAGTTAGGCCAGTATATTATAGGATTTATCTTGTTCTTGCCTTTCTGGGGACACCCAAAAGCTCAGTACTTTTTACCGAAGCACTTTGGTAGTGAATTTGATGAAATTAACAATAAAATATGCTTTTACAATGCGCCATAAAATTTGAAAAATGAGTTAAAATTTAGTAATTTTAGCATGGTATCTCAGAGTAGGTCATGAAATTCAGATATTCGGTTGCGTTTATTTCTCAGTTTTGTATTTTTTAACAAATGTGTGATGATAAGAACTATAATTTTGAAAACTGGAATTTTCGGAAAAATGATAAAATGTGAACGGATAAATTACCAAATGTATGATTAGAACATCGTATCTTATCGGGTATGCATAAAATTATAATCATTGTGTATTTTAATAAGAAATTGTTCTACGTTTTTGTCAAAAATATCGACTTTAAGGGAAAAAAACGAAGAAAATAATGAGAAATAAGAAGCAGACATTTAGGTGAAGTTTTGTTTTATGACCAGAATTATCTTTTTTTTTTTAACAGGAATGTTATTACAATACATTAAGGTTATTTTACCAGGTTACCTCACCGTGTTTGAGTATTGTATGCAATTGTTACTAATTATCTGCTAGTATCTCGTAAAATATTAATTGCATGGTTGAATACTTGAGCAGTTTCTAAGTTTATTTAAGTGCATTAATTTTTTCGGATTAAATTTCAACTATAAAATGATTTTGTATTTTCATATGTTTTTAAAATGGAAACATTTCGCCTTAAACTTTATGGAGAAATAAAGGTAAAAATTTATGTCCAAATTTTTAAATCTGATTCTGAACTGCGTTATTAAATGATAACACTGTCTTATAGAAATAAATAAAGACATTAAAAATTTCCCCCGGAAATTATGGTCTCAGCAATTTAAATCAGCAAGTTTTGACCAATTTGCACCATTTGTCATCTTATTAAAAAGGAGAACCATTGTGATTTTTTTGCAATATTTATTACATTTTTGATTTTGTCAAATTTTTTCGTAGAATTGATGTTGCAGGTATATTTTGTTTAGGACGGCATTTATAATTTATAAATAATACATAACTTTTAAATTTATGTAAAAAAATGTCCTACAAATTTAAAAAGAAATGATTTAAGTGTTTCAATATATCATTCATTTTATTATTCGTTTTGTGTGTTCATTCATTTTGCCAATTTTTTCATTTTTCCTTTATTTAAAGAAACATAAAACTAAACGAAAACCGAATCGTCTATTTTTTTTAAACTTACGATGTAAAATTGTTCTTTTCGAATTTATTACTAATTGTTTATAATATATAAGATACCAATATTAAAATTATGTTACAAGACATTGCCTCAAAATTTCATCTCAGTTATCTTGCATTGGATGGCATTCAATGCAACCACATAAATATTATCTGACAATCTTGCATCAAACATAGTCTCTCTTTTTTGTCATTAATGTGTTCAAACCCATCACGCCGTATACCCATCGTTAGTGTGATTTCAGTGTTTACAACTTAATTGACATACATTTTGTTAAAAATTCAAATTTTAAAATAATATGGGATATAACGAGTTAAAAAGCTCAAAATGACTACTTCAGAAAATTGTGAATGTCATGAAGAAATAATCAAATGTGAAACAACAAAGATAAATTCATGTAGAATTGGTTTATTTGGTAAAAAGAGATGGTAATGATTAGGAATATATTTGTTTAGGAATACTGAGGAATTAATATTTAGTTATAATTTTTGCAACATTTTTATTGCATTAGGTAAAATTATTTTTACTATATTTTTACTAAGGGGTTAATTTTATTCATTCTGTTAAAGTGAAAAGAGGTTTAATATGCATCCCTCCCCCACCAATTGTATCCGAAGCAGATGCTAGTCTCAACCAAAAACANTATGGGCTATAACGTGTTAAAAAGCTCAAAATGACTACTTCAGAAAATTATGAATGTAATAAAGAAATAATCAAATATGAAACAGCAAAGATAAATTTATGTAGAATTGGCTTACATGGAAAAAAGGATAGTAATGATTAGGAATATATTTGTTTAGGAATACTGAGGAATTAATATTTAGTTATAATTTTTACAACATTTTTATTGCATTTGGTAAAACTATTTTTGTCATATTTTCACTGAAGGGTTAATTTTATTCATTCTGTTAAAGAGAAAAGGGATCTAATATTCAACCCCCAATTATATCCGAAAGAGATGCTAGACTCTACCAAAAACAATCTAAAATACGTCTGAAGGTAGTGTGAAGACGCCTGAGAGAACGGATGACCTATATTGGCTGCAGTGCATTTTTTTTATTCAAACTCAAATGATTCTTTTGTTATAGTTTATTCATCTATAACACTATTCTTTTAGTCATAAAACTCTCACCAGAACTCAAAAATAAAACAATTGGGAATACTTTTATTATATGATTTAGTACTATCATCGTACTTGCTACTCCATATTAGGAGACTTTTATGGAATTGGTATATTTTTTAAATTTTTATTTACATATTTTCGCAATTAACATTGAATTTCCTAAAAGTGTAGATCCGGTCACATAGGCATTAATATGACAATAATGAACATCATATAATTTTTTTTGGTCTAATATCAATTTTAAAACGAATTTCTGGATATTAGAAACTTTATCCTCACAATTATTTAAGTATAGTTATCTTTTAACATTTTATTATTATAGTAAAAAGAGCATAACTTACTGTTCGATCTCCTAGATGGCGAACTCTGCAGGGTAGATAAGCAGTTTTTCCGGTTGTTGTTGTGATGTTTCTGCTGGTGGAATTGTCAAAATAAGGAACTAGGTCCTGATCGACCCGACGAACTTGTCTCGCAAAGATCCGAGATTTATGCCAGTTTCGAGATTTTTCTGATTTATGATCTTCTGGACACACTGCAAGAAATACATTTTTTTTTAAACCTCTTTTAAGTTCTATGAAAATACAAGTACAGAAAAGATAAAATTTTACTCATTTACGTTAAAAAAAATTTCAATATATCTATCTTTTTTAATTTTATATAGCATTGTACATGGATACTAAAAGAATACAAAAAATTTAATTCTAAATTGACAAAACTTCTTTGAAAAAAAAACGCGCTTAAAAGTAGTAGAAATTTCAAAAAAAGAAAGAATAAATGTAGCTTTTTTTCAATCTGCGCAGTTTAATAGAGGGCGTTGTTTTATTTAGTTTTAAGTGTTTCCTTTACATTTGGTTTGCTTGTGAAATCGCTGTTTGACCTGGTTAATGTGAGTTTTTATTTTCTGATGATTTTGTTTGAGTTTCTTTTCTGAATTGGTTCGATGTAATGTTTTTTTCCCGGTCTTCTATACAAAACCTTCGGGATACTGAGGGAGTTAATTTAGGCATTTGCCCTCTCTCTCAATAGAAAAGGTTTTGTTTTATGGCTACCGCCTGAAGACGTCGGATTCGGTGGTCATATTTTTATTTTAATTTCCTTCGTTTCTTTTATTGCTACATTTATTGTACATGGATGTTTCTTGTAAAACAATTTGCAAAAATATTTATAAAATCTATGGTTAAAGTTTAAGGTTTTATACTAATGTAAAATCCAAAACTGAAATTAGCATTTAGGAAGGTTTTGTTTAGGATAAATTAATCAGCGAATAATTGTAATAAACTTGGAAAAAATTGACCTTTAAATAAAAATTGGTATTTTTTTGTATTGTATAGGTCAGGGGTGGCGAGCCTTTATCCACCAACGTGCCATTTTTTCTAAAAAATTGTTTGATGAGGGCATAGACGTGCCGTCAAATAATTTTGACTTCGTGATTATTGGAAAAATAATAATACTAAATACTATCAACTCAAAACTTTTTATTTACATTGAAAAAAAAAACATTTTGCAATGTCTCAGTTATACGCGTAATTCAACTTGAAGTAACATCAGTGTGACTTCGGTTATTGCAGGTCAGATGACAAATAACTTAGATTAGGTTGTAAGATGTTAGTTTAAGCAGGACTTTTTGTTAGTTTTTTTATTGTTAGCTTGTTTTTTATGGTTATTAATTGTTTTATTTAGCATTAATTGTTAGTTTCTCATTAATAATTGTTTATTATTTTGTGTGTTTTTTGTGAATTTTAATTTAATTGTTACATATGCTTCATAGAGTAATACCATTTGTGTAATAACAAATGTGATCGGTGACGTGCCGAAATATTGTGTCGGGTGCCATAAATGACGCGCGCGCCATTGGTTCGCCATCCCTGGTATAGGTGATAGAAATTATTATTTTGTTTAAATTCTTAGTAGCAAAATGTTATGCTTAAAAAATCATATAAAAATTTTAGTGTCTAATTTTTTTGTATTTTTTTTTACTGAAAAACAGGAATTTTGTACTTATATATTAAAATACGAGTCATTATAGGAGTGATGAATAAAGGTTGAAATATAATATTCTGAAATAACATATGCTACAAACTATATTACAAATTATACATTTAACTATTTTGTATACAAAGTTTCAAAGTGAAAATACAATGATAAAAAACTTCTTTGAATAAGTTAGACCATCAGTTTATTAAAGTCACGAAATATCACAAGCAAATTGTTATGGGCGTATTTTATGGAAAATTGTCACGAATTGATATTTTTATGGCTTACAAAATTTACTTTTGCATGATCGATTTTTCTTTGTGAATACTGTTAGAACACTGTATATACTGTTAGAAAGTTTCATGACGCATTACAAAAATATCAAAGAAAGTAAATATTCTAAATAGCAAAATTTCAGTAAAGAAAAAAGTACATAGTATTAAAAAAATTACACTGTAAAAAATTGTGGATCAAATTACGGTGAAAAGTACCAGCACTAAGGTTACCGGTACTTTTCGTCGTGAAATTCGTTTTTAACGGAACATGTTGCAAAGCAAAAAAATCTGGCATGCCGTAATTTTTAGAGCAATAATTATCGTATAATCACTGAATCACTATAATTAAATAAATACTACAGTAAAATTAAAGGGTTAATATTTTACTAAAATTGTTATTTACGGATGATGCCCCCAAACCCCAGGTACTTTATCCGTAATTCGATCTGAAATTTTTAAGAGTGCGATTAAATTAATAATATATTATTCACAATTCCTCAGATTAAAATAAGAGAAATATGAAGAAAAAAATGACACTACAAAGATGTTTTAAATCATAGAATAAACTAACAAATTTAACTATGACAGTGTAAAAATAATTTAATATTGGTTTTTTGAAGTAATTGAACTTTTTCTATAATCTTAATATAGGTATAGCATGTGTGTCAGAAAGATATGACAATATTGGAAAGTACTTTCAAAAACAATTTAAGAATTTTTTTGGCGAAAATTGTTTCCCTCGTCCAAGGAGATTTAAAACAGAGTCTAAACTACTAGTGAAAATAGAAGAAATTTATGGTTTTTCATGTTTTACAACCGACTGAGAAAAAACTAAAAGTTAAATAAAACAAAATAAAAAGAAACGAAAGTTAAAGCTTTGGAGCGGAGGTGAAAGGGGTGTACCAAACGAAATTCATCGAATTTGCAATTACGTTTATCGCGGTCTGTATTTCTTCTTTCCCGTTTTTTTTCTTCCATTTCTTTCGCTTTTTAGAGCTAAACGTAATATGCAGATTCGTCTAGTTTAGATAAGAGCTAGAAGAAATTGCTCTTTCTCTTTACTAAATTTGCTACAGCATTAAGATTCTCTATAATCATAAATCATAAACCTAGAATTTATGGGAACGTCTTTTAGTGGAATAATTTCATATCTGCTAACTTTTTCTAAGCTTCTCATATGAAGCTGTAATTAGCTTCTAGATGTTTGATGGAGTGTGTGTCTGCATATTTAGTTAAATACATCTCGAGAAATATGATGCTTTTCATTTTGTTTTATGAAGAAATTTTTTTTTTAGAAGGTGAGTTTTAAACATTTATTCAAATTCGTTAACTTCTATAAAGTTTTTAAACTATATAGCTTTTTTTAATTATATGTTATTTTTGATCACTCACTACAGCGTTATAATATTAAAAAGTTAAAGTATTAGTTATTAATATCAAAAAGTTAAAGTTGCTTATCAAAATTAAAACATTCTTTAAGTTTGAATATTTAATATTAATGGCGATTTTTACTTAAACGTTATATCGTACAGTGCCCTAAAATGTACAGTTGGGAAAAAAATTCCACTCTGAAGAACATTTGAATTAATGATTGGATCTTCAAGGTTTAGGATTCAATCTAAATAGTTTAAGGGAGCGACCTCAAATATGCTAAAATCAGATACAAAAACGTACTTTCTCTTAATAAACAGGAATTTTTTTGACAATGAATACACACATGAATGATAATGAATTAACGCAGTTTTTGACGATGAACTCAGATTTCTGTTTCCAAAAATATAAGGAGAAACCGCAATCTGGTCGATTGACAATTATTAAATAAGAAAATAAATATTTACAAAAATCTGTACTTTACATTTTATCTTAAGATAAGCGAATTTATAACTTTGAGTAAAATTTTTTTCAATTTGCGTGAAAAGTTCTCTAGTTTTGAACCGCTCTCCTTGTCAAACTATAGGGACCACATTTCCCACATTGTGACTACCTTTTTATTAGACCTAACCGCTTTTTATTAGGTCTAACACCCTATAGTTTGAGGGTCAGAAGCCCAGAGCTGTTGAAAAAAAGGTACGTTTGTTTAGAGAAAGTACGTTTTTTTGACTGATTTCTTAACTTAAAATACCGTCCGCAATAATTTGCTAATTTGAGATTACCCAATCGAACCATTAAGATTGAGTCCTAGAATGTGAAGATCCGATCATTAGATCCAAAGTTATTCATGGTTGTCCATTTTTTTTTTGGCGCAATGTACATAAAACTTTTATTAATAAGCTGCTATGTATTGTTTTTGCCTACAAGAATAATAGACGATGTGTTGAAAAACGAAATTTATAAGCTAAACATGCATGTTAAAAATTTTATGGGATAAAATAATTCAATTTTATTATTTTCTGCAGATAACTCGTTTGTTAAAAGTCTTAATTAATTATGCTTCCAATGGAAATGATATTTACTGTTAGAAATTTTTTTTTCTTTTCAGAATATAATAGGCTCTAAATTAATTTTATACCTTAATGTGCAATTATTCTAACCTATGTCCCATTATGACAACAATAACTCATGCTTAAATAAAATTTATTTTGAGAGCAATTTTAATTTTATGTTGCATATATCAAGGTATAAATATTCCAATTAAAATATTCTCACAAATATATGCGAACCTTATGTCAAAGTTTAATGAGCTTATTACAACAAGAAGTACTAAAAATAACTTTTAATCAGTATTATCATTCTTTTTCTGGAAACTAAATAAACATAAATATAAAAAGATTTTAAAATTTCTATTTTGCAATATTTCTTGAGATTCAAAAATTTAAAACTGCGGCTATAGTTATACATTTGCAATTGTTCAATTTTTTAAACAAATTTTTTTTTGAAAGATTAGTGATTTTTTTAAAGTTTATATTAAATTTTATGTCAATAATGCAAATATAGTACAGTTTCCATAATTCAAGTTTTACTTCAAAATGCATAAAAGTATCTAAGTGTTTCATTTCTATATTTTTTCATTTTACAAGTAAAATGGTCTTGCTTTTAGTACTTAAAAACGGAGAAATAATTCATTTTAGAAAATAAGGTTCCTTAGATAAAACAATATAGTATATAGATTTTTTCTGTAATTTTAATTAATTTACATATTTTTAAGTCACAATTTAGAATTAAGAACTGAAAATGCCTTCGTGTTTCTTTAGACGAAAAATTTGAAAGTTTTAAGCACAATTTTATAGAATATTCCTAAATATTTCGCATGAATAATAATGAAAAAAATACTAATTTAAATGTT